ATTGTGCATCTAAGTGAAAGGAAACCCTTGAAAACATCTGTCTTTTCTTCATGTATCATGGTGTTGTTTGTTGGTCCAGATGTAAGGAATTTTGTTTTCTTGGTCTTCAGGTGTAATGCATACTGAAAAGCTGTAGTCTTCAAGACCTCTTTACTTTCGACCAGCAAGGCTATATCATCTGTATTATTGCAGGTTGTGGATGAGTCTTCCTCCAAGCATGATGCTGTATTCTTCTTCAAATACCCCAGCTTTTTGGATTATTTGCTCCAGCCCTGGACTAATGATGACCTTATGTAAATGGAACTAAACCCTATCTAGTCCTGAGCCAGCCCATCCCCATTATCATCTGTGGGCCTGAGGGTTGTGATCCATTGAGTTTTCTTTCATTGGTTGATTTTTGGGAGGAGATCACCAGACCTTCATAAATAGTCCATCTTAGTCTGGAAAGCACCTCTAAAACCCGTTCAACACCACAACATCACACAAACCCTTCCATGACAGGGTGGCTGGGGGCTGCACACCAGGTGCATTGGTGTGGATTCAAATCCACATCTTCCACACGGAAGGTGAGAATTCTACCACCAAACACCTGGGTGAGTGGTGCACATTTGAATGTCCCAGGGGAAAGCCAAGGGGCGATATTTGGTGGCCAGTTGACTAAAATGGTCTGGAGCCAGTGAGAGAGAGGTGGAGGATGTCAGCCTACAGATGGAGTTTAAGTAATGGGAATAGGTGAGCTTGCCCAGGTGTTATATATAAATAAAGAAAAACAGGCCAAGGATGCAGCCTTGGAAGGCTCCTGCCTCCAAGGCAGTTGGCCTGTGCACAGCCCTTGGATTCGTCCTGATAATGGTAGCCACCAAAGCAGTTGAGTCAATGAGTTACCTGTTCCACCACAACCTCACGACTACATTATATAATGAAAGCAAGTCTTAGAACAAAGTATGTCATGTTATTGGGCTACTATGAGAAAGGTTGGCAGTTTGAGTTCATCACCTTCAGGAAAAAAGATGGGCAATCTCCTTCATAAAGATTTACAGCCTAGGGAACCCAGCAGAGGGGCACTATGATTCAGAATTGACATCTCTGGTATTAGCAATAGCTGTGAGTAGACTCACGATCTGCTTTATTATCTCATAAATGTGCTATTAAATACATTTAAAATTGAGAATGTACTCATGAAGAAATACATCTCTAATACTTGTTAAACATGTACTTTCTATAGATTTTAGGTTGAATGTATGTACTTTCAGTCGTTTGAGCAATTGTCATTGGTGACAAATATTCCGAGCTGGTCAGGAAGGCACACCTCAATGTCAAAGGAGCTTTATTAATAAGGTGGTTGAAGTAGTCATTTATCACATTGCAGAAGGTTCTAGACTTATGTAATATTTATTTTCATTTGCTAGTCAATTACCAGCTGTCAGAACATATTAAACCTTGCAAATTTGAGTCAGAAGCTGTCACTTCTAAGTGTATTAACTTTCCCTAATCACGTAGGTAGTGATTTGTCCCATGAAAGAGATATTAATCATTGAGCTGCATCTGTCTCTATGGTGGTATAAATTGCCATTAACTTCCACACTGAAGCGAAGTAAATCAATACAGAAACTAAAAACGAAAGCAGACAGTCATGAGTATTTCCTTTATGTTAACAAGCTTTTTATTGTTTTAAGACAAAAATGCCAGCCAACTTTCAAAGATTTTTGCTTCTCAGTCTGAAAAAAAAATACACTTTTTTCTTTCTAGCATTCCTAACTTACGTTTTTGGAGAATTTGTTATCTGCCAGGCAGTATGCTTAAAGCTTCATATGAATTGTTTTAAGCTTAGCAATAGCCTACAAGGTAAGATTTGACCACACAGTTTATATTTTATAATGAGTAAGTTAAGGCTTTAAAAAGCTTGATTACTACCTCATACCATGCACAAAACCCAATCCAATGTGGATCAGGGACCAAGAAAAAAAACCAAAGACTATAAAATTCATCAGGGAAAAGCTAGGAAGAATTTTAGAAGCCTTAATCCACGGCATGAACAATCTTCTAAGCATAATGAAAATCCTACAACCAGGAGAGAATAAAATAGATTAATGGGATCTTCTAAGAATCAAATCCCTATGCACATCAAAAAACTTCTCCAACAGGGTAAGAAGAAGACCCACAGACTAGGGAAAAAATATCTGGCAATGACACATCTGATAAGGCATTTATATCTAAAATGTATAGAATATGTTGTTGTTGTTGTTGTTATGTGCCATTGAGTCACTTGTGACATAGCGACCCTATGTACAACATCCCTGAACTCTGCTCTGTCCTGTGCCAATCGCACTGCCTCTGATACACCCATCCCGATTACCCCAGTCACTGAATCAGTCCACCTCATAGTGGGCCTTTCCCTTCTGCCCTGTCCCTCCACCCTACCAAGCATGATTTCCCTCTCCAAGGACCTGTCCCTCCTTGCTACATGTCCAAAGTATGTTAGACGAAGCCTTAGAATCCTTGCCTCCAAGGAGCAGGCTGGTTTGACCCTTTCCAGGAGGAATCTGTTTTCCTAGCAGTCCATGGTACCCTCAATACTCTTCTCCAGCACCACAGCTCAAAGGCATCAATTCTCCTTCTATCCTTCCTA